TCAGTAAGATTGGTGTGAAAAATCTGAAGGCATGCTTTGTGTTGCAGTCCTAAAAAAGCTGACTTTAGTGGGATTAAATCATCATGTCACTGAGGAAAGTTGATCTTGTAAAGTAGTATGTGCTTTTATGATGAAGTGATTATACCAAGCCATGTCTTATGTATCAGAAAAGTTTAGAGAGAATGTGAATATAAGTGTTCCAAGAGTTAATATGTCCCACTGCCAGAAATTATTTACCATAAGTAAGTGTGACTTATTCATAAATAAGGAAGTAAATATATTGGATAAAGGTGGCATATAGTATCCTGACCATTGACAATAGGCAGAATAAATCCTGCATTTTGCTTCTGTCGTTACCTATACTTTTAAAAAAGGACATCCGTGCTTTAAAACAAATTCTTATCATTATCGCTGCACTGTCCATAATGATTTCTGTATTATGGACTTCTGTCAAAATTTGTGTCTCCTAGACATCCAGAGTAATTCCTATGGAATGTATTTTATTGTACACAGTAAATTATAATGTTAAATACACAAGTATATTCACAATTTATAGAAAGCATGATGTGGTGGTGGTGTAACTTTCCTTTAATAATATGCGCCTTCAATTATTATGGACATAAACCTGAGTCTACATTCATAACTCACCGCTGGAATTTATATTTTCATAATTAATACATTTGTGAGTTAATAATTTAATGGAATTTGTTGTGGTATGTCTTGTGCTATCCAGCAGTATTGACTGACTGGTGTATCAGTTCAATGTGTTTTGATTCTGTCAGTATGACTGATATTGATGGAACATCAAAATACATTCTGCTGTATCGTTTTGAAACACAAAAATTATAGCAGATCACCAGTAACTAGTTGCAGTAACTTGTGAATAATGTCAGTGAAAGTAAATAAATATTTGTGTGACTTTTCAGTAATAACTACACATCATTGTTTTACAAATAAGAACTGAACTTACTAAATATTTGGTTTTGTCATGTCAGAAATTCTGGTTAGTTTCAGGTACTTGTCACAAGCTGATTTAGGTGGGGTCAGGGTGCTTGTGTTACAGCTGTCTGACTCATTAATCACAGTGTGATATACTGTATTTACAAGGCGGTGACATAGCTCAAGTGGTTAGTCGCTGGCTTCCCATCGCGGTGGCCCGGGTTTGATCCCAGGTCTGGTCAAGTGGGATTTGTGGTGGACAAAGTGGCGCTATGACAGATATTCTCCGAGTACTTCGGTTTCCCCTGCCAATCTTCATTCCACCAATTGCTCCACAATCACCCTCACCTATCATCCTGGGGCTGGTACAATAGGCCAGAAGTGGCCACAGTACAAGGGACTTTGTCCCACCCCACTAGCAATAAAAAAATACTGTATTTACAATTGAGGAATTGTCGGGGTTAGGATCGATGCAACTCACTGATCTCCAAGCAGCCGCAGCATTTATAACCTATAGCTCGATGACTGGGACGAGCAGTTAGATTTTTTAAGGTGTTTTGGTAGCGTGATGTGGCTCTTTTTTCTGCTTGGTATGCTGGGCTCATTTCTGCCTGTTTCACTGTTTATCGTAAACATATTTGGGAGAGGCATATGTGGTAATGGGAGACAGTTGAACTTAAAAAATAGAGACTGTTACAAGTAATTATGTTGACTGTAACTTCTGATGTGGTTTGCTGATTCGTCTGTACCACAAGGGTCAAGTGAGATTGTCACATTTCCAGAACCCAACCCCATGAACCCTGTGTTTGAAATTAGGCTTGAGACAGATTTCTTTGGTCACCACTAGCACTTAAGAAATTGTATTTTTCATCCCTTGCTTGCACAAATGGTTACTGTTAAAGGGGGACTTAAATTTTTGGCCAAAGATCAGTGTTTATTCAGAACAACAGAATTTGTGTTAATGCATTTCCTGTTAGAACTGCATTTGTACTACATGAAGTCCATTGCATGCAGTGGTCAATATTATACATCAAGATTTCTATTGTGACTGTATTGTGTGAGGCCATGTAGTCCGGTAGACCCTTTTGGAGGAACATACTGTGTCATCCTAGCCCGAGATCAGAAATTTGGTCGTAATCTACCAGTCTACATGACATCACATCTCAGATCACTGTAATTTTCACCATTATGCTTTTAGAAGTACTGGTGAGGAACTTTTGAGTGCCATAAAATGCTAAGAATGTTAGTAGATGAGCAACTGTTAGCTTTGTAAGAAGAACTGTGCTCCATGAAGTGGAAAATCTATCGAGAAAAAAAGGTTACGCAGATAAATTGAATGAGGGGGAAGCAAAAGCGAGAAACAGTGTGCCTGAGGTTATGTTTTTGAAGAGAAAAAAAGGAATGAGGGATGGAATGGAAATAAGGGGGATGAAGACAGAAGGACAGGTTTGAAGTAGAGTAAAAAAGGAAAATAGGAGTAAGGGGGTGGGAAGTGCAGACAGGAGTTAAGAGATAATGGGAAGCAATAATAGGCATGGAGTTTTGGTAAGGGGGTGATAATGGAAAGAGATTACAGATATAAGAGAATGTGAAGTAAAGGTTTTTCTGCTGAAGCAGAAAGAAAGTGTTGCAGTAGTGTCCGAAACTGAATAGTGAGCCAATATTGGCAAACTTAATTCACTTACAAATTAAAATTATTTACATTTTGGACATTATCTAAAGCCTAATTAATGTGCCATTATCACAGTCTGTTAGATGTTATTTAACATAAATTAATCATATCAGAGATCAATTAAGAATATAACTAATATAAATGAAGTAAATAATTATGGATGTTTGTGATTATAACGAGAATTTATGTTCAGTGTGGAAGTTTATGGCCCTGGGGGGTTCAGTATTTTTAGAAATTTAGTTGCACACATGTATTTCATATTATCCGTGACAGATGCACGTTAACCTATTTGATAGACAAAACAATGTTCTTATTAGTAACAAAGAAGTGTATGTAATAATTTATTTTATTCATTTAGATGTTTGAAAAAACTGCATGAATTCAAGATAGTTCCTTGATTCTGATATTATTAACGATGTTTTTGACACAAGAAATAAACAAGTCTTCCTGTATACGTTATTTTGTGATTTTCATTTCATACCATTTTCAAGATTCATCAAAGGTTCAAAGTCTGGAATGATGAGCAAGATGCCCGGGGTTCAATTCCCTGTAGGAACAACAGATTTTCTTGTCCGCAGCGTCCAGACTGGCTCTGAGACTCGCCCAGCCCCCCATACAATCGGTACAGGGGAGTGGCCAGGGCTAAAGCTGACCACTCCCATCTAGTTCTGAGATAAAGAATGGTTGAACTCTACCTCCATACACCATGACGTTATACTTAATTAAGCACAGGGACAACAGTGCCTTTACCTTTCATGTAACTTAAGTATTCAGGTCAACTGTTATACCAGTAAAATCCTCGGTCTAGGGGTGTATTGCTTGTTTGACGAGGTTTACATGTGCTTCAAATCGCAGCTAGCTTCTCACTTAAGGCTATGTTGTTAATAATTAAAGGGGTCATTCATTCATCAGTGGCTCTTCAGCCCGTTGTTGGGCCCTGGCCTCTCTTTCAGTTTCGTAATCATACACAGTAGGGCTTCCTGGACGGGGGATCGACCCGTCGCAAGGCCGAAACCTGTACAGTACAACAAAAACATAATAAACTCAGACAAACATCCGACTCTCGACTGTGATTCGAACCCAGTGTTAAGTGGGCGAAGACAGGTCATGCAATGGACGGCGTGACCAGCGTGATCGGCAAATGGGTTATACACTAGACGTTTGTTTATTTATGGTTTATTTAACGAGAGGGCCAGTAACTGTTTAAGAGTGTATAGCGTCGAATGCTAGAACTGGGAAGGATGTGGCAGGAAATCGTCGTGGCCTTATTTGAGGTTTATCTGGAGGACCTGGCGAAAATCGAACAGACTGCCTCTAAGCTGAGATTTGAATCCTTGCCGTAACGAACACGAAACGGGTGTAATACTCGACCACGATGTTCGGTGGCGCTTTGAATAGTACTGACGGGATTCCAACCAGCAGTGTACAAATTGTGCCCCTCTTTATATCGAGCGCGACCCAAGTTAACAAGAATGTGCGTGGCGTACTATAACGACGCAACAAAAGCAGCGAGAGCAAGACCGTCTCAATCCCACGCCTGCCTTAAAATCCCTTGTGGATTTTAATAACAGGGCATACCCGCTTAGGAGAGTGTTTTAAGGAGAGGCCGCAAAAAGCAAAAATCTTCCTCATAATTATTGTTCTTCCCATTTTCTCAAGTAAACACACAAGTATTTAGTTTTCTACTGAGGTGGAGTTTTTGCATCGTTGCTTTCACTTTCACTGTCACTACTCATTATAAAATGGTTTCAATTTGGTAATTATTTAAAAGCACAAGGATGAACACGGCAAGAAGCAAAAACATAAAATATTACAATCCACGAACGGATATTCCACTATCGATTAGTATATGCTAAATTTCCTATCGATTATTACAGGTAATTTTTCGATATTTATCGATGAGTACCTCTAAGTGTAAACTGTCGATAATAATGACAGTTTATATCGGAATGTATTTGGCCGGAATAATATATAATTTAAATTTTGCGATCTTGATTGTTAATGAAATATACGGGAGAAATAGAAGGTCAATACTGGAGCCGGGAGGATAAAAAAGAAAATAGTTCTAATACGGGAGAGTTTGTCACCCTCGGATATAGTCTCATTCCAACTGCAGAGTACATCCATCTGTCTTAACATATTCGCGGCATCAATGAGGTAATATGTAAGCAAATCCTAATTTTAGTGAAAGGAGTTTTTGGAATAGATGCTTCATGATAAGATTCTGATCTTCTGTGTCATGCATTATTCTCTTACTGGCTACCAGTACTTCATATGAAACTGCTACCAACACCTTCACTTCTAACGTAAAGAAAGCAGCAGCAAGTTCAGTTGAAAATTAAGAAGCCACTGTCTAAAATTTTTAACACACAAGGCCATAATCTTAATTTGCATTGTTATGAAAAGTCTGAAGATAATTCTGGTCTTTTATATGATGTCTGGTAACACTGTAATAAATTAAAAACACGGTTGTTTTAATGCATGTATATTTTCACATATAGACTCCTACAAAGACTTTCAGACATAATCATAGTGAATGCATCACTTTCAACAACTTTTTCACATATACTTTCCATTTATTTCTGCATCCACACGTTCTAATACCTCTGTTACTCAAGACTCAACATAAAAATGAAAATGTTTATGTACAGGTGAATATAGAAATAATGAACACAATTTGTCCACATTTATTTTAAATTACTTTAGAAGTCCCTGATATCTTAGCTGGAATGAAGTAAATTATTACTGACAACACGTACAGACTAGAACACTTCCTCGACAGTAGGTCCCTGACTGCCCGTTTGACTTCTTGCCTGCTGACCACAGCTGCTGTCATCTGTACCTTTATGGATCTTCGTCATGAAAGGGCTACATGCTCGCTGCACCTCCTGCAGTTTATGTTCCAACTCTTCCTTTTCAGCAAGGGTGTTGCTGTCCAGCCACTGCAGTGCACTGTCACACTCTGACCTCACTGTTCGCTTGTCCTCCTCACTAAGTTTGTTGCCTGTCTCATCCACAGCCTGCTTCACACTGAAAACGTACCCCTCCAGCTGGTTCCTTGCCGCCACTCTCTGCCTCTGCTTCTCATCCTCCTCCTTGTACTTCTCTGCTTCAGCCAGCATCTTGTCAATTTCTTGCTTAGACAGTCTACCTTTGTCATTATGAATTGTTATGTTCTTTGAGTTACCAGTGCTGCTGTCCTTGGCAGACACAGTCACAATACCGTTGGCATCAAGGTTGAATGTGACTTCTATCTTTGGCACACCACGAGGTGCTGGAGGGATGCCTGTGAGATTGAATGTTCCCAGGAGATTGTTGTCTCGAGTCATTGCCCGCTCACCTTCAAACACATCGATGGTCACTGCAGGCTGGTTGTCAGAATATGTTGTGAAGATCTGCGTCTGTTTGCACGGGATGCGGGAATTTCGCTCGATGATCTTTGTCATGACTCCCCCGGCTGTCTCGATACCAAGGGAAAGCGGTGTCACATCAACTAACAGAACGTCCTGGATCTGTGAGCTCGTGTCTCCACTCAGAATAGCAGCCTGCACTGCTGCACCATATGCCACGGCCTCGTCAGGGTTGATGGACAGGTTCAGCTTTTTGCCACAGAAGTAGTTCTGCAGCAGGCTCTGGATCTTCGGTATGCGCGTCGAACCGCCCACCAGCACCACATCATGTATGGAACCCTTGTCGAGCTTTGCGTCCATCAGTGCTTTTTCCACTGGGTGTAACGTGGACCGGAAGAGGTCAGCACAAAGCTCCTCGAATCGCGCCCTCGACACTTTCGAATAGAAGTCGATACCATCAACCAGAGCGTCGATTTCGATGCTCGCCTCTGTGCTGGAGGACAGGGTTCGCTTTGCTCTTTCGGCTGCAGTTCGGAGACGTCGGAGCGCCCTTGGATTCCCGCGTACGTCTTTCTTGAACTTCCTCTTGAACTCGTCTGCGAAATGGTTCACCAGCCGATTATCAAAGTCTTCGCCACCAAGGTGAGTGTCTCCTGCAGTCGCCCTCACCTCGAAAAGTGAACCTTCATCAATGGTGAGGATAGAGACGTCAAAGGTACCGCCTCCCAGGTCGAAGATCAGCACATTACGTTCGCCCTTCAGGTTCTTGTCCAGCCCGTAAGCCAGAGCGGCGGCTGTGGGCTCGTTGATGATTCGAAGGACGTTGAGGCCTGCGATCGTACCCGCGTCTTTCGTGGCCTGACGCTGTGAATCGTTGAAGTACGCCGGCACCGTGATGACAGCGTCCTGCACCTTGGTACCCAGGAAAGCTTCTGCCGTCTCTTTCATCTTAGTCAGCACCATGGAGCTGATCTCTTCCGGGGCAAACCTCCGTCTTTCACCCTTGTGCTGTATCTGGATCTTCGGCTTCCCGCAGTCGTTCACCACTGTGAAGGGCCAGTGCTTCATGTCACTCTGGATCTTCTCATCGTCGAAGCGTCTGCCGATCAGCCGTTTAGCGTCAAAGACGGTATTCTCCGGATTCATGGCCACCTGGTTTTTCGCGGCGTCTCCGATAAGACGCTCGGTGTCGCTGAACGCCACATAGCTGGGAGTCGTGCGATTTCCTTGATCATTTGCAATGATCTCCACCTTGCCTTGTTGCCAGACACCCACGCAAGAATACGTGGTGCCCAAGTCAATTCCGATTGCCGGGGTTTTCGGCGCCATGTCTCAGTTCACAATTAATCACTGTTTATGCTCTCACTTATTATTCTTCTTCCAATGAATGCGCTTTCACTATCTCTTTCTCGTATTTACGAACTGTAGATATGCTCTCGTAGTGCTTTCACTTTTGCTTACTACTCTTCACTCGGTTTGAATGCTTTGAATGTACTGCGGAATAAGACACTTCCATCCCATTATATACTACCAGCGACTCTCGTTGGATGTTTCTGGCAATTTCTGGACTATCCGGAACATCGAGAGCGCTCGAGAGGCCTCTAGTAACACTAGTATTTCGTGCTTCGTGCTGAATCGAGAAGGATCGAGAACTGTTCTGTCATTGGTCGGTTGTTCCCTGACGTCATGGCAACGGAGAAGCTTTTCGTAACAGCTTGAATTACGTCATCTCTGTCACAGGTTAAAATGTCGATTCTTGCTACGTAGTTGGGTGTTTAATTTACAATACCCACAAAGATTTCCTCTGAGCTGTCTGTTAGATCCAATATTGGCTGTGTCATTAGTATTTTTATATTCTGTTATTTATGTTGGTTTAGAAATAATGTGACGCTTAACCGAAAACAGAGGTAGCAAACAGCTGAGGTTAAAGAATGTGAAAGTATAAAATGTAAACGGAACATAAATATGTATATTGTTCTAAAACTAGTATGGCGAAATTTAGGGGCGCAAAGCGACGAATTCACCTTCTTCTAACCCCCCCCCCCTTCTAATAGGTATAAACTTCAGAGGTAAAAGCATGACACGAAACATAACCTCAGCGTGCGTTTTTTAAGAACAAAGACGAGCCTAACATTGCCGACGGGATTGGCAACTGGGTAGTGTGTTCTGAGTGCCTCCAATGTTTCCCATGGCCAATGGAACCCAAGAAGTGGAGTGCTGAAAGAGAAATTTTGAAAGTGTGTGTGTAAGTTGAACATGAAAATTCTGGTTCGTCCCCTCCCTTTCTAGTGCTTGACAGGGCAGTAAACCCCAAAATCATGTTCTGTATGAAAGGGAAGAAGAAAAAGTAACGTGTCCATCTCTCACTCGTGGAGCGGAGCCCTTCTTGAGGGGCTGCCAATTGTGCAGCCACTCAAAAACTTCCCAGACTTCTATGGAACCCGAGGGTTCATTTCCGTGTTCACAAGAGCCCTATCCTGAGCCAGATCAATCCAGTCCCATTCTGTGTCTCTAAGATCCATTTCAATTTTGTCCACACACCCACGTCTTGGTCTTCCCATTGGCCTCCTTCCTTCCAGCCTTTCCACCAATATCCTATATGTATTCCTCCTCTCCCCATTCATGCTACATGCCCTGCCCATCTCATCCCCCTTGACTTGATCATTCTAATTATACTTGGAGAAGAGTACAAGTTATGAAGCTCCTCATTATGCAGTATTCTCCAACCTCCTGTCACATCATCTCTCTTCCATCTGAATATTCTCCTCAGCACCCTGTTCTCAAACACCCTCAGTCTATGTTCCTCTCTTAATGTTATAAACCAAGTTTCACATCGATACAGAACCACATGCAAAATTATAGTTATGTATATTCTGACACTTTTAGATAGCAGATGAGAAGACAAAACGTTCTGGACTGAATGGTAGCAAGCATTACCTGAGTTCATTCTCCTCTTAATTTCCTCCTGAATCAGGTTTTGATATCTTATTGTCGTTCCCAAATATCTGAACTGTGTCACATTTTCAAAACTTCTGTTGCCTGTCTTTATGTCACGATTTCGCCCTGCATTTTGGTGACGACACAGCAACATATACTTATTTTTCTCTGCGTTTACTTCTAGTCCAGCCTCCTTACTAGGGTCAATTATAGTTTGTGTGTTTTTCTTTATGGTGTCTATATTATCACCCAGTAGATTCACATCATCAGCGTACACCAACAGTTGATGTGTCCTATTTAATTTCATTCCCACTAGTTCTCCTGGACCTTCCTAATGGCATATTCAAAAGCAAAGTTGAAAAGGAGTGGCGATAAAGCATCTCCTCGTTTTACGCCATTCAAGATAAGAAAATTATCAGACAAATGTTTACCTGTACGGACTTTACCATACGTTTCATTTACACATATTGTAATCAGCCTAACTAGTTTCATGGTTACCCCAACTTCTATCAGAATATTGTACAACATTTCCCTCCTAACTGAATCACAGGCTTTCTTGAAGTCTATGAATAGCTGATGTACTGTCTCATTGTACTCCCATTTTTCCTCCAATATCTCACAAATGCAAAAGGTCTGATCTGTAGTTGATCTGTTACATTGAAACCCACACTGATGATCCCCAATAACTTCATCTATATACGGACTTAACCTTGAGAGAAGAATATTGGACAAAATTCTGTATGAAGTTTATAGCAGTGATATCCCTCGATAATTACTGCAGTCAGTTTTATCACCCTTCTTGTGAACTGGTACAATAATATACTCCTTCCACTGATCAGGCTACTTTCCCTTATTCCAAATGGAATTAATTACTTCATGGATCTTAGAACATAATATTTCACATCCTGCTTGAATAAGTTCTGCTGGACTTTGATCACTACCTGGCAATTTATACCTTTTCAATTTTGCAATAACAGTTTAAATCTCCAAAGGGCTAGGATCAGGTACTAATGGCTCAGCTGTATGTATTTCAATCTGCCTAACATCATTGACCCTAGGTACATTCAGGAACTGAGAGAAGTATCTCTTCCACCTATTCAAAATGTGGGAATCTGCAAGCAGATCGCCATTCTCATCCTTCACCAAGTTAGTTCTAGGCTGGTAACCCCTCCTAAAGTCATTTATTCCTCTATACAGGTCTCTAGTGTTCTTGTTCTTACTCTTCGTTGCAAGCTCATCAGTTTTGTCTCAGATATTCCCTCTTTCTATTCCTGAAATGCCTGCTGGTTTCATGTCTAACATTGTTCAGATTATCCCCATTTATTTTGCTTCAATCCTATAACCACTGCATTTTCTTTTCTTGTCTAATAATTTTGAGTCTCCTTCATCAAACCATGGCTTATGCCTCTTCAGTTCTTAATAACATAGACTCTCTTTGGCAGAAAATTTTATATTCTCCCTGATAGTTTCCCAAGCTTTATTAACATCCACCTCATTGTCTAAGTTTTCCAACGCCACAAACCTATTTGAGATTTCAACACAATACTGCTCCTTACCCTCTGCCTTGTTTAATTTCATGAAATTGAACCTCTCCATATGAACTTTATGCATTTTTGTCCACTCACTGCCAGTCTTTCCCTTACCTTGCCACCACCAGGCAGTGAGTGGTCAGTATCACAGTCTGCCACCCTGAATGATCAGACATCAGGTATGTCATCTCGTATCTACAAAATTTGGTCAGTATGATTGTGTGTCTTCCCATCAGGAGATGACCAAGTACATTTATGAATGTTATAACATGGGAATCTTGTCCTTCTAACTGGAAGATACATGGTATGGCAAAGTTTACTGCTATAAATCCATTATCAATACTAATTTCGTGCAAACTCTCATTCACCATCATTGTTTTCAAAATATCTTCCCTACCCACTTAGGCATTGAAATCTCCAGATAAAATTTTTGTATGGTACTTTGGAAATTCTGGTTCGTCCACTCACTTTCTAGTGCTTGGTAATGCAATGAGACCCTAAATCATTGTTCCTTTATGAAAGAGAAGAAAGAAACGTAATTCATCTGTATGGTCTTTAAATTATATTGTGTTTTGTTTAAAAGGAAGTCAGAAAATTTATTGTGTACTTGTCTAAGAAATGTATGTGTATCATACCAGCCATCTCGCAAATTAGTAACAAAGAGAGAAGGCAGTCAGAAACATGTTTTCTGCTACACACTTTGAGACAGTTGGTATGATGTACACAAATACATATCTTGTTGAAGATACAAGAAGAATGCAACCCTACAAATTAGGTGTCATTAATTTAAGAAACATTCTCCATCATATGCCATTGTTTGAGATATTGACATAATAGACTTCATAAATTAAATTGCATGAAATTCATTCCTGTTCAATAAGTCCAAGTTCCATGTCATGTTCCTCCCCTCCACAAATAGCTATAATGTTATGACTAGGGCCTGGATTTTTTGAATAGGCATATGCGCATATGTAAATGCATATTTTGAGGGTTTTTGGTGGTTATTGCATAATCTAAACGTAAGAGCATATTTCTGCATATATGTTTGAAATTAAGGATAATTAAGGATGAGACAACCGATTTGTGTGGCCAATGCGTAGTAAATTTTGTAGTTGTTAAGCTACATCCAGACGAACCCGGCAAACCTCATCTTCTTGCTTGCAAAGTACTAGAGAAAACCAACCATAGCACAATAGCGAGATTTGTAAATGATTCTCTGCCACTACTATGGCCATCTGAAATTGAGAATAATTGTTGCAAGGTGCTTGTGTTAGTCACAGATGGAGTTTCCTATATGCTGAAAGCAGCAATGGCCTTACAAGTATTTTATCCGAATCTTATACATGTAACCTGTTTAGCGCACGGATTACAGCATATTGCAGAAAAAATGCACCTCACAGATGGAGTTTCCTATATGCTGAAAGCAGCAATGGCCTTACACGTATTTTATCCGAATCTTATACATGTAACCTGTTTAGCGCATGGATTACAGCATATTGCAGAAAAAATGCACCCACAATTTACAGCCGTTAACGATTTAATTGCAAGTGGGAAAAAACTGTTTCTGAAAGCACCGGTTCATGTCCAGTTCTACAAAGATTGCGTACCTCCGGTTCCTCTGCTACCTGAACCTGTCCTAACTAGGTGGGGGACATGGATATCTTCAGTTTCATTTTATCAGGAGAATTTCAATCATGTAAAAGAAGTGGTTACATAACTTGAAGATGAGAATGCATGTGTCCAAAACAATTAAAGACTTCTAGTTGCCTATTGTGATGTTACTTTCTGCCGTGAATGATACATGTAAATATGTGAGTCTGAATAAAGTGACCTGTTTCTTAAGTGCATATTGTTTTATTTTTGGTGCACATTTTCCCGCTTTTAGCGCATATTTTAAGTGTTTTAGTGCATTTTTAAAGTGTTTTTAGCATGTAAAGATCCGGGCCCTAGTTATGACAATGCCAGTAATCAGGTGATGCTGCAGAATTGGTATAAATCCCTGGCAAAAGTTCTAATGAGGTTGGTATAGACAGGAACCTGTTTAGAGGTTAATGAAAACACAGCCAAAGAAGAAATTAGTAACCTGTGGAAGAAATATGTTTCAGGAGAAACAAATGATATAAGAAATAGTGCCCCCAGAAATGCTCTTAAACATGTCAAATATTGTAGGATTGTAGACTCTGCTCACCACCTGCCCTATTGAATCTACTACTGTTCTTCCAGTGATGAAAATTGAAGTACAAAGTTACCTTAAGCAAAAACTTTCTTTGGGCTTTAATGAAAAAGCAGTTTATGTAATCAAATGATAAATGAAAGGTTTCAAGAAGCTCTTAGCACCTAGTCATAATGCCTCTTTATTATCTGATATTTTTCCCATTGCTTTTGAATGCAGCAATATAACTTTTGTAAAAGGGGAAGTGGAAGCAACATACAACACTGCAGAACAATGTTTCTATTATGAGATTCAGAATGGTTCCAACAGGCAATCTTTAAGGGGTTATCTTCCTTTTCATCAAGAAATAATATATTAACAGAAGCCTAAAAAGGGTTTAGGAAAAGATAATCAACTGAATCACAGTATACACCTTGCATGAAAACATGCAGAGTCTGTTGAAAAAAATTGAGATTGTAATATTTTGAGGCTTCACCAAAGCATTTGATGTTATAAACCAAGAATTTCTACTTGACAGATTAAATTAATATGGGATTAGATCCATTGTGAACTCATGGACTGAAGTGTATTGAGCACACTGGAATCAGTCTGTTACAATAAGCTACAGTGGTAAGAAAAAACTGGAATGAAGTAAATAATATGAAGAGTACCATCTTTTGGGATAGAAAATTGACCAGCGTTTCAGTTGGTCTTACCTCCTCCATCTTCAGAATCAGAGAGTAAGCCAAGACATAAACTACCATGAAGAAGGCTTTGGTTTCTTTGTTCGTGTACTCATCAACCCTAAATATGGAGGTGATATGTTACTCTGAAATGTCAGTTGACTTTCAGTACACTATAAGGTTTATATGCCGGAACAGAGAAGTCTTCATAATCACCACTGAGAAAATCTCTGAAAATTCAGCTGCCATGGTATTGATTTTTTGCACTTAATGTTATTCTTATTATACATAAATGTCATGCCAACAAATATCCAAGAGTCAAGGATAACTTAAACATAAACATCCTCTGAGTCTTATGTCATGACCAGCAATCAGCCAGTTGTCTTGTAATAAAGAACCCATCTGGAGCTTATGACCACATTTTTATTACTGTCAGACAGTTCCGGGTTTGTTGATGTGAGCTCACCTCTAAGGAGTGGGTGGGTCTGTCATTTACAATTATTGCTGTTCCTCAGCAGCACAGTCATTCTCGGGTCCAAGTCGCGTGGGACTCGTGACCATATTTTACTGTCTCAGATCCGAGACTTCCTTTTCGTCTCCTCCCATGAGACACAAGGCTACATTGGATGTATTCAACCCCATCTCCACAATCACAAGTAGTGAACATGGAGGTTTTCAGATCACTATGTCTATATCTTGGGAAACCTACCAGTTGGCCACAAATACTAGGAAAAGAATGTTATAGGGGACATACAAAGAGAACTGCAGTATATTTTAAATAAGGAGACATGGAAGCTGCATCTCCCATTTTTCAGTCTGAATAGAATGCTGTAAATTTCTCAAAGAAATTGGCATATCCCAGTGTTTTCCTTTGATGAAAGGTTCTGGAATGTCTTGATGTCTGTGATTGAGGGGTGCACATGAGTAGCAATGTGTGCCTGTCCATGTCCCAAATAATGCACAGGTAAAATCTGTCAGAGAATCCACATTTATAATATTTTGTTGCTTTTATCACAACAGAAAGCACCAGATGTAAAATTACACAGAATTTGATTGATTTTGTATGACTAACCAAACAAAAATTAGGAAAAATTAAAGGTGGGGACATTATCTAAAATTGTTTAGATACTTTGAAAGTCGTGAGGAATATAGTCTCAGTCTAACTGTAGAGTACTTCCATCTGTCTCACATATTCTCATGTATGTATTATTGAGTTGGATAATTCTTGATTTCAAGTTTTGTTGCCACTGACAATGAGCCCTCTGGGTTGAGGGGAGTATACCACTTGTTAGTGAAAAGGGAAAGCTATTTAAAAGTATTTTAATCTTCCAAATCCACCCAGTCATTCAGTATAACGATCTTACATGGGTTAACATAATTGTAAGCAAATCCTAATTTTAGGAGTGGGTGCTTCATGATAAGATTTGGTCTTCTGTGTCATGCATTATTCTCTTACTGGTTACTGGCATTTCACATAGAACTGCCAACTCCACCTTCACTTCTAACTTAAAGAAAGTGGCCAGAAGTTCAACTGAAACATTAGAAACCACTGTCTAAACAATTTATCAAACAAGACCACAATCTTAATTTGCACTGTTATGAAAAGTCTCAAGATTATTCTGGTCTTTATGATGTATGGTAAAATTGTAGTAAATAAAAACACAGTTACTTTTAATATACATATTTATTTATTTATGAGCATCAACACCTACATACACTTTGACACATAATGCTATAGTAACACGTTTTCAACAACTTTTCACGAATAATTTTTATTTACTTCAGTATCCACACATTCAAGTACCTCTGTTACTTGAGACTCAACAGAAAAATGAAAATATTTATCTACAGATGAATATATTACGTATAAATAATGAACAGAGTTCATCACCATTTATTTTAAATGTCTTTAGACGTCCCCGATATCTTAGCTGGAATGAATCAAATATTACTGACAACACGTACAGACTAGAACACTTCCTCGACAGTAGGTCCCTGACTGCCCGTTTGACTTCTTGCCTGCTGACCACAGCTGCTGTCATCTGTACCTTTATGGATCTTCGTCATGAAAGGGCTACATGCTCGCTGCACCTCCTGCAGTTTATGTTCCAACTCTTCCTTTTCAGCAAGGGTGTTGCTGTCCAGCCACTGCAGTGCACTGTCACACTCTGACCTCACTGTTCGCTTGTCCTCCTCACTAAGTTTGTTGCCTGTCTCATCCACAGCCTGCTTCACACTGAAAACGTACCCCTCCAGCTGGTTCCTTGCCGCCACTCTCTGCCTCTGCTTCTCATCCTCCTCCTTGTACTTCTCTGCTTCAGCCAGCATCTTGTCAATTTCTTGCTTAGACAGTCTACCTTTGTCATTATGAATTGTTATGTTCTTTGAGTTACCAGTGCTGCTGTCCTTGGCAGACACAGTCACAATACCGTTGGCATCAAGGTTGAATGTGACTTCTATCTTTGGCACACCACGAGGTGCTGGAGGGATGCCTGTGAGATTGAATGTTCCCAGGAGATTGTTGTCTCGAGTCATTGCCCGCTCACCTTCAAACACATCGATGGTCACTGCAGGCTGGTTGTCAGAATATGTTGTGAAGATCTGCGTCTGTTTGCACGGGATGCGGGAATTTCGCTCGATGATCTTTGTCATGACTCCCCCGGCTGTCTCGATACCAAGGGAAAGCGGTGTCACATCAACTAACAGAACGTCCTGGATCTGTGAGCTCGTGTCTCCACTCAGAATAGCAGCCTGCACTGCTGCACCATATGCCACGGCCTCGTCAGGGTTGATGGACAGGTTCAGCTTTTTGCCACAGAAGTAGTTCTGCAGCAGGCTCTGGATCTTCGGTATGCGCGTCGAACCGCCCACCAGCACCACATCATGTATGGAACCCTTGTCGAGCTTTGCGTCCATCAGTGCTTTTTCCACTGGGTGTAACGTGGACCGGAAGAGGTCAGCACAAAGCTCCTCGAATCGCGCCCTCGACACTTTCGAATAGAAGTCGATACCATCAACCAGAGCGTCGATTTCGATGCTCGCCTCTGTGCTGGAGGACAGGGTTCGCTTTGCTCTTTCGGCTGCAGTTCGGAGACGTCGGAGCGCCCTTGGATTCCCGCGTACGTCTTTCTTGAACTTCCTCTTGAACTCGTCTGCGAAATGGTTCACCAGCCGATTATCAAAGTCTTCGCCACCAAGGTGAGTGTCTCCTGCAGTCGCCCTCACCTCGAAAAGTGAACCTTCATCAATGGTGAGGATAGAGACGTCAAAGGTACCGCCTCCCAGGTCGAAGATCAGCACATTACGTTCGCCCTTCAGGTTCTTGTCCAGCCCGTAAGCCAGAGCGGCGGCTGTGGGCTCGTTGATGATTCGAAGGACGTTGAGGCCTGCGATCGTACCCGCGTCTTTCGTGGCCTGACGCTGTGAATCATTGAAGTATGCCGGCACCGTGATGACAGCGTCCCGCACCTTGGTACCCAGGAAAGCTTCTGCCGTCTCTTTCATCTTAGTCAGCACCATGGAGCTGATCTCTTCCGGGGCAAACCTCCGTCTTTCACCCTTGTGCTGTATCTGGATCTTCGGCTTCCCGCAGTCGTTCACCACTGTGAAGGGCCAGTGCTTCATGTCACTCTGGATCTTCTCATCGTCGAAGCGTCTGCCGATCAGCCGTTTAGCGTCAAAGACGGTATTCTCCGGATTCATGGCCACCTGGTTTTTCGCGGCGTCTCCGATAAGACGCTCGGTGTCGCTGAACGCCACATAGCTGGGAGTCGTGCGATTTCCTTGATCATTTGCAATGATCTCCACCTTGCCTTGTTGCCAGACACCCACGCAAGAATACGTGGTGCCCAGGTCAATTCCAATTGCCGGGGTTTTCGGCGCCATGTCTCAGTTCACAGTTAATCACTGTTTATGCTCTCACTTATTATTCTTCTTCCAATGAATGCGCTTTCACTATGTCTCTTTCTCGTATTTACGAACTGTAGATATGCTCTCGTAGTGCTTTCACTTTTGCTTACTACTCTTCACTCGGTTTGAATGCTTTGAATGTACTGCGGGATAAGACACTTCCATCCCATTATATACTACCAGCGACTCTCATTGGATGTTTCTGGCAATTTCTGGCTGGATAATCGAGCGGGTTCTAGTGTTGCTTGATTCTCGCTGAATCGAGAACATCGAGGATCGAGAAGTAGCGAGAACTGTTCTGTGATTGGTCGGTTATCTGTTGTCGTCATGGAGAGGAGGATGCTAATCATATCAGCTGGTTACTCGTTTCTCGTATCTTTTGGACGTCTTGGACGTATGCTTTTATGATATGTGTTTCGTCCTTGGCTGGTTAAAGTACAAAGTAGTTTAAGCTTACTGTGAGTTTGAGATCGAGCTGACGTCTAGGAATAATATTGTCTTTGTCGAAATTATGCATATGTTTTATTGACATATCATTTGTGTTTTGTGTATATATATATAGGTCTGAATCTAAGGTAACGCGTGTCCAAGAACAAGGGTACCAGACGAGAAATTACAAAGCGTGTGGGTAACCGAAGACATACTTCCAAAATTAATCTTATGCAATACTATTTTCTGGAGAAACAGGAAGGAATTATTTTTAAAAACATAACCAACGGAGCTTGGACACTGGGCCGTTTCTCGGAGCCATTGGGGTGGGAGGGAAGTGGAGTACCAAAAGACAAAAGGTGTATTCCGAAATTATGAATTCTGGTTCGTCCATTCCGGTTGTAGTGTTTGATAATAAAATGGGACCCAAAATCGTTCCAGAATGAGCGTGTTGAAATAAAAGTAATATCATGATATTGTCATTAAGTTATTTTCATTCCTATCTAAAATGAATACTGAACATTGACTGTTTACTTCTAATAGTTACAGATGTATGCTTATTATATCAGGTGTCTCATAGTTGTGTGATATGCTGTTTGTAGTGTGAAATCATTAAAGTATGTTTTGAGATTGTTGGTATAATGCACACATTTATGTTTTACATGACACAAGCAGGGTGCAACCCCACAAAATGTGGAGTTTTCGTTTAAGAAACATCCTCCATCACACACGAATCTTTAACATATCGACATGTTACACTTGCGTGAAAGTTGTCTTTGTATACCCAGACCAGGTTCTAGTGTCGTTTCCTGTTGTTTAAGGTTTATTTTAAGGCAGTCAGTGTTAATGAATGAATGATAATAAACACCTCTAGGTTTTTTAGTGGTCTCTTTTCTTCTGGCTTTCTCACCAAAATCCTATATATTCTTCTTAGCTCCCATTCATGCTATATGCCCTGCCTATCTCATCCTTTTTTACTTTCTCATTCTAATTATGCTTGATGAAGAGTACAAGTTATGAAGCTCCTCATTATGCAGTATTCTCCAACCTCCTATCACTTTATCCCTCTTTGGTCCAAATGTTCTCCTCAGCACCCTGTTCTTAAACACCCTCAGTCTATGTTCCTGACTTTGCCAGAGACCAAGTTCCACAGCCATACAGAACCACAAGCAAAATTATAGTTTTGTATATTCTAATTTTTACATTTCTAGGCTGCAAGTGAGAATACCAAAGATACTGGACTGAATGGTAGCCATCATTACCCAGATTCAGTCGCCTCTTAATTTCCTCCTGAATCAAATTTTGATTCATTACTGCCATTTCCAAGCATTTGAACTGTGCCACGTTTCAAAGAATATGTTGACTCTCTTTATATTATGATTTTGTCCTGCATTCTGGTGATAAGACAGTAACATATGCTTAGTTTTCTCAGAATTTACGAGACCAACCTCCTTACTAGCATCAGTTAGAATTTCTGTTTTTTTCCTCTTTATGGTATCTATATTATCACCCAGTTGATTCACGTCATCAGCGTAGAATAGCAGCTGATGTGTCCTGTTTAATTTCAGTCCCACCTGGCTTTCCGGGACCTTCCTAATGGCATATTCTAAAACAAAGCTGAAAAGCATTTGCAGTAAAGCGTCTCCTTATTTTAGACCATTTTGGATAGGAAACTTTATAGACAAATATTTATGTATTTTTAACATAAGTTTCATATAAGCACATTTTAGTCAGCCTAAATAGTTTCATGTATATCCCAAACTCTATGAGATCATTGTAAATACTTCCTCCCTAACTGAAACATAGGCTTAGTTGTAACCAATTATTACCTACTGGCCTAATTCTTAAATATTAATACTCAGGACTTAATGCCATTTTTGTACTAAACATGACTTATACTCAGTTTTGCATTAACTATCCTAAGAATCTGTGGGGAGGAATGTTTAGGTAAGAGCCACTAGAATGATCTTTGATAGCCGGTGTGGCATGTGAATCGCTCCACCCACTAGCCCAAGTAAAAAACTTCCAGAACATTCTCAATCTGTAGAACACTGTGGAAGCTTCAAGAAAATTCCCAATGCAGAAGATTCTGGAAGTATTGCGTCATCCAAAAGTATTTAAAGTACTGATTTTGGATGGCGCATATACCATAGTAATACAATTGCATCACCAATATAGTAGTATTCAGTGTGTGGCATTTATAATATCCAGTTGTGTAACAGAACAATTGTATCTGTGACTTAAAGTGACTGACTTGTAAAATCATGCAGTGCTGTCAATAAATCAAATACATCATTTCATCAGCTAAGTGTGATCCAGAGACTTCTTCCATAAACTCTCCCTCATCAGAGCAAGGCCTGTTAAGCTCTGAAGAGAATCTCATGCTCACAGCCTGAACATCATTCACTTTTACTGCCCTCAAGCCATTCCCAGCACTTTGATGTGGTTCTAAGACCACATGGCATCCACAACCACAATATGAATAGCTAATGTACTATTCCACTGTACTCCCAATTTTCCCAGAGTGTCTGATAAATGCAAAAAATCTGATCAATAAATAACTGATCGCTTACATTGAACCCCATACTGAAGATCCCAAATAATTTTGTCTATATATGGACTTGACCTTAAGGGAAGAATATTGGACAAAATTCTGTATGAAATTTGTAACAGTGATATTCCTCAATAATTACGACATTCAGTTTTATCATTCTCCTTATAAATCGGTACAATAATGGATTCCTTCCACTGATCAGGCAATTCTTCCTTACTCCAAGTAGAATTAATGAGTTTATGGATCTCAGCATCTGACAACCCTATGGGCCTCCATGGACTGTTACAGGGATACCTTTACTTTTTTATTATTATTATTATTAGTATTATTATTTGTGGATCTCGGACCGTAACGTTTCACCTCCTTTTTGAATCAGTTCTGCCAGAATTTGATCTGTACCTGGCAATTCATACTCTTTCCACTCTGCAATAGCAATTTCAACCTCGGACTAGGATCAGGTACGAAGGGCTCAGTTCCATGTATTTCTATCTGCTTAACATCACTGACCCTTTGTAAATTCAGTAAGTGAGATTAGTTCTTCCACCTATTCAGAATGTTGCAGGAACCAATGTTATTCTTAGTATTCATATAAATGACCTGCCAATAAATATTGTGTAGCATTTGGGTGTGTGACAATAGATGGGGTATGGATTGGATGCATTTATTGACACACTTGTACACACCACTCTGAACCACAAGTAATTACAGCACTATCACTAATCTCCACACTTTAAAAATCACCACAGCACCTGCTAAGCCTTTCCCAGCCTGTTGTGTCATCAACACCCATTCCCTAGCAACAGCTCACGGTGGACATTCTTCAGCTTTCCGCAGTGAGATCCTCTTCTTACATCCGCCCAGGCAGAACTCTTGTCAACTGTCACCTCAACTACTGCGCCATCTCTTCTCAGCCTGCCTTGAATAGCTCAACTAACTGGTTCCCAGACTAGCAGCCATTTCACACTTACATCCTAGTCTTCTCTTCACAGGCTGACTTTCATCTGACAACTGAACTGGTCAAAGCCAAAGTCACATTGCAACTGACAGTCAGTCTGTCAGTATCTCTCGGAGTCAAGCCCCCATCTGGCCAGAGTCACTTTATGACTAGCAGTTTACCGCCAGTCAGTTCATCTTGGTGACCATCCCCTTGAGTTCCACAAGCAGAATTTTTATTTTCCAACTGAACACTAGTGGTTATAGAGGATGGGTCTGTCATTTACAATTGCTGCTGGGGCTTACAACCAGATTTTTATTACTGTCAGACAGTTGCAGGTTTGTTGATTTGGGGCACTCTCTCTGATGAAATGACGGGTCTGTCATTTATATTCTCTGCTGGCCCTTGCCAGCGTAGTCATTCTTGGGTCCGAGGCCATGGGACTCACTACCATATTTTACTGTCTCAGATTGGAGACTTCCCTTTCTGTCACCTCCTACAAGTCGCAGGGCTACAGTTGAGGTATTCAACCCTGCCTCCACATGGGATTAGTAATATCAATGATTTTTTAAGTTATTGGCCCTGCATGTTACATTATTGCTTGTGTATAATTTTTCATGCTTGATCACAATAAACATAGCAGACTTTTACGTGGCTCACATCCCAGAAGACGGCATTCTTCATTTTGAAGAAGTTGTTAAATGTGTACTCAGTTGAAGTAAATCAGTTTACCAAATGTACATTTTTGTTTCCCTCATATCATTGTCATTGTTGTTAATTTACTGAAGATAATCCTAATAAGTTTTTTTAGTTGTTGTAAATCGTTTTGCAGATGTCACACTAGTGAATGAGAAATATTTCTTTAAATGTTTCCCACAAGCAGACTTGTTTTAAATACTGTCACGTGTTAGAGCGTCTCTCGACGGAGCTTCAGGTTGGATGTCAGATCTACTGACCACTTACAGATCGCCACCACATGCAGCTATAACAGTCCCAATGAACCACAGCTCACATAAAATTCTGTTGTCTTCACTAGACATTTCCTGGTAATCGATTTTAACACAGTAATTACAACAGTCTCACTGGACCACACACTCCAGGTATCACTGTAACTACACAAAGTCTTCTTTGCCTTCATTAGACGTTTCCTGGTAACCGATTTTAACACAATAATTATAAGTCTCACTGGACCACACACTCCAAATATCACTGTAACCACAGCTCACATAGTCTTCCCTGCCTTTAGTAGACGTTTCCTGGTAACCGATTTTAACACAGTAATTATAAGTCTCACTGAATTACACTTCGCAAATCCTCCAAATATCAGTCTGAGTATTTGTCTTATGACCGACAGTCAGTCAGCCAGTCTGTCTTGGAAAAAAACACCGATCTGGGGCTTACGGTCAGATTTTTATTACTGTCAGACAGTTGCGGGTTTGGGGCGCTTTCTCTGACGAGAGGACGGGACTGTTGTTTACAATTGCTGCTGATCCTCGCCAGTGCAGTCATTTTCGCGTCCAAGTCCGTGGGACTCGTGATCATATTTTATTGTCTGATTCGAGACCTCCCTTTTTGTAGTGATTGAGATTAGCTCTTTCTAAGGGGCCTAACTGAGTAGGTTTGTTTCTTTCTCACCTGAAGACAGAAATAGATCCAGTTTCCGAAACGTCGTGTCCTCTATTACCTAGAATTCCGGACGATGGAAAAAGGAAAAAAATCCGGTAATTATATGTGTGTGTTGTTTAACGAATGTGTAATTCGTACTAAGAGAGTCATATGGTCATGACATATTTCTACGGCTTTAAACACTTTTGCGTTTCCCTGGTCGCCCTAAAAAAATGGATTGAATTGATTTTCCTCCCAGAGTATAAAGCTGTATAGAACGCTGAACCAGCTGATCTGCTGATTCAGTAATGCCAATAGCAGACATGGATATGATTGTCTTATAATGCGGCTTATAAGTATCTGTTATGTCACATTTCCAGTAATAAGTATGAAATTTTAAATGCTTCATTATATACACATAAGTTGTCTCGAATAACGTTAAATACATATCTAATCGTATGATCAGCTTAACACTGCAAATTCATTCCTCATGGTTGGTGTGGTTATTTTCGCAGAAGTTGTGCGTGTGTGTCGGTCGGTATCTCAAAGAACGTGCTTGTTTTTGTCAAACTGCAGGGTTATGGCTAATGTGCCTGGGAAGATTGAGGAGTACGTTGACAGTTTTTTGGCTGAGGTATGTAACAACACGACTGTAACCAAGAATTTTGTACATGCGTTAAAATGATGTTCGTGACTAATATATATGTTGCACTGTTTCACAGAACTCGGCACTACAGCGTAAACTTCAAAGCAAAGCCGAGGCCTTGCTTATTCTGAGTAAGGAACTCGACCAATGCCGAACCGAAAGAGATCAGTTCAGGCTAATGGCAGAACAACTTCAGGACCGATATTCCATGCTGAAGAAGAAGTCGCATGATCTGGTTATTAAATAACAATATAAATTTATTTATATTTTAATGTTGTTTGTGAGCCAGGGTGATAATTTTTTTTCTGCCCGTTTGGAGCAGAGAATCTGTCTGTGTGTGTGTACAAGGGTAATGAGGTAGAATATACAGTTTGGCCCTGATGGGGAGAAGGATTTGGTATAAATTGTCGTATTCTGTCTTCATGTGTGTGTGTGTGTGTGTGTGTGTGTGTGTGTATGGTTACCGTAGTGTAACATCGAACAAGGTGATTTTGAGTTAATGTTTTAGACACGAATTTGGTAGTTGTTAAGAGCCGTGTCTGAGTCACAGTCAATTCTGACTGAGGTTTTTTGCGGTTTTCCTCAGTGAGGCAAGTTCCAGGATAGTACCCACATTCTGCTATGACTGTTTCCTTTCTAATTCATCAGTCAGCTTAATGTGGCAAAGGAAACATTACTGTAGTACATTTATGTAGAACAGTAGTCATTGTAGTTGTATAGAAATGTTGGTTAAGTCAGCAACAAAGAGTCATTTGAAAATATTTGATCCAATTTGCACCATAATAAGATAGGATTTCATATGTCCCTGAATTGTTCATCAGTAAAGTAAGGGGTTCTGAAAGTCCAGCCAGCCCATAATGAAGAGTTTACTATATTATTGAAAAAAAAAAACAATTTTTGCAAACACATGTAACTACTACTGTAGCTGCTGCTTTTTTTCTTTTATGTGTTGTAGGGTTTCAGTCGGCTGACGCTCCATCCTGATGGTATAGACTCAAAGAGACGTGGTAATACCTTGGCTCAAATTTTAGGAGAAACCACAGAACAGAACAAGGCTCTAAAAATTGAGGTGGAAGATCTGCGGCAGAAACTTCGTGATGCACATGGGGACATCAAGGTAAACCAAGATCCGGTTTTTTGTGGTTACTGTAGCTATAATAATTTCTTGGTGGAAAGCAAAATGAAGAGACAAAATGGGTAAATATAGTGTCAGTGCTCTGAATGATGAGATAATAAAATTCAGATTATAGTCTTGGATTGTGACAATATGTGGTCTTGTAGGCAGATACCAGCATTTGGAGGAACATGCTGTGGCCATCTTCATGGTTAAACTGTACAGGGTGAAGAACTGGCTTGGCTATGTGGGTCAGTTTTATGGAGATGGTCACTCATATCCACAGAACAAGAGAAGGAAATGGAATCCAATCCAAACCAGTGGGCATGGTAGCTAGAAAAATAACTTTTTTGGGGTGCATGCTATATATTCCATTACAGCAGAGACATGTAGTTATGAGAAAATGTGCCCCTTTCAGGGCTCCCATGTGTTTTCCTCACAGGAGGGTAAATGGAACATTGAGAATTGGGTGTCTTGTCAAAACCTCAGGACATACAAGGAAGAGTCAGTAAATAGGTCACAAATGGATATAAAATGTAAAACGTGTGCTATTTGAACCTGGGGAAAAAAAAAACATTTATTTCTCGACATATCCTCCACCAACATTGATATACTTGTCCCATCGCTTTACCAGTGCGTCGAAACCTGGGGCACAGAAGTTTTTTGACTGTTGTCTCAGACACTTCCATACCTCCATTTCAAGCTCTTTGTCATCAGCAATATGTTTGCCACCCAGCAGTGAACCTCTTTGCACAACAAACACTGCCCACCATAAGCAGGAAACATTTCTTCATGAATATCCTTTGTATTGAATCCTTTTGCTCACAAAATATGCACAATAGAATGCTGCTCTTCAGTAGTACACCCCTCGAGCAGCCCCTGAACATGCGCATCTGCTACCTAGACTCTCCTGAAGCTGGACTATGCTGCTACCTAGGGATACACATAAGAAACCTATTACGTCCAATAGAACTGTTTTACTTCCATTTGTGACATATTTACTGGCTCACCCTCGTACGTAAGTAATGTTCAAATTTACAAATTGTTTTTCCCTTTCAGCTTTCTAAGTAAATACATGGTTGCTTCAGAGTGATCTCGTACAGGGGTCATATATCAAACTGTAGAGGCAGTAAAGAACCTTTACACAAACTTGCTTTCAGCTGTTGCTGACAAACATGAGAACATTTCATAACCTGCGACACAGTTTTTAGAGGCACTTAAATTCTGCTGCATTTTTCAAGTAACAGAATTTAAGCTTATCTCTCAACCATGGAAAGAGTTACAAATCTCATGTCATAAGATCAGGAGAAGAACTACGGTGTGATGCTTGGCAAGCAGAAGAAGCAGTGACTGATGTGCTGGAGCATTTTCATGCAGAAGCACCTAGTCTTTACCCACTTCTGGGACATTACAGATCAGCTGCCTGCCATGTGGACAGGGTTGCAATGAGAAAACTTAACTGCTTTCCTTGCGAGGCCTCACAGAATGTGATTAACTCTCAGCTATCAGTAGTATATTGATATGAGGAATTCTGTCTTCTGGGTTACAGCAATCCAGTGAAAGTCAACTGACATGTCAGAGGATATACTGCTTCCATTTTCACAGTCAGAGAATAAAGTAAACAAGAAACGAGCATGAAGCAGACAGCAAGCAGAGATGACATGTTACTCTGAAATACTGGTTGAGTTTCACTGGACTATACAATGTTGTATCCCAGGATATACAGTGTTTCATACTCATCATCATCATCACTGGCACGACAGCCCTTTGTGAGCCCTGGCCTTCCTCAGGATTGCTCGCCATTCTTCTGTATTCGATGCTACATTCCTCCAGTTCTTTACACCCAAATTTCTTATGTCCTGCCACACACATTCTTCCTATTTTAACCTTGGTCTTCCCGCTCTCCTATTTCCTTCTGGTTTAGTATTAAGCATTTTCTTGATGGTTCTGTTCTCGCTGGCACGTATTGTGTGTCCAACCCATTCAAGCCTTTTCATCTTTATAAATCCAATAATGTCTGGTTCATTAAATAGTTTGTATAGCTCATGGTTATACCTCTTCCTCCATATTCCGTTTTCTTCCCCTGGTCCAAAGATATATCTCAGGATCCTCCTTTCAAGTGTTTCTTACTCACTGCTGTGAAAACTGTATAACCAGTACAGTGTAATGATATGTTGGTTGCCCTGTTCAGGCGCTGCGCATAAGCCTCGGACAGCAACGTTCTGGCACAAATGTGGGGGACAGCCAGGCATTCCCATCTCACCAGAGAGAACAGCTGGTACAGCAGCTTGAGACTTTGAGTCTGAAGGTACATGATGCATGCTGAATTTACATGAGTGTTTTCACAGTGTCTGTGTATGCAGACAGGGTTATCGAATAATATTATATTTCAGAATCCTGTTGCATTCGTACATCACTTGTCCACTTGTTTGCATCTCTAATGCAACATAAGCTTTTATTTTGAATTCAGTTAACACTTGCCTGAGGATGGCCTTAAAAGGCCGAAACATGTTGCAACAATTAAATAAAATGTGATTTTAATGACATTTTAGGAAATTTAAGTGTGATTGTAGTAACATTTTAAAATAAAAGTTTATGTTGCATTAGAGACGGAAACACGTGGGAGTGAAGGTTATTGAATTTTGTTCTCTGAGGTGAATACATCCATGCAAGTGAAGCCTCTGTATGTCTTCATCATCAGGAGCTGATGTGATGAACAACACAAATTAGACCACATATTGTCTTCAAATAGTAACTTTTCTGCTTTATATTTTGGAGGTCTGAGGTTCAAATCTCAGTCCAGAGACCACCTATCCTGACAGGTTTTTCATGTTTTCACACAGTTCCTTTCTCCACCCAAACAGATACTGGGGCTCACAGTAGCATAGTTGGTTGAGGCACTATGCTACAAGCCAGAAGGTTGCAGGTTCAAGTCCCGATGAGGTCATTGGATTTTTTCAATTGACCTAATCCTTCCAGCCGCACTATGGTCCTGGGGTCAACTCAGCCTCTAACAGAAATGAGTACCAGGAATATTCTTGGAATATTTTGGGGTATAAAGGGCAGCCAGCGCATAGGGCTGACAACCTTGCCACCATCTGTGAGCCGATTGTCTAGAAAATGTGGGAACCTCAACATCTCACAACCCTATGGCCCTCCACGGCCTGTTACATGGATACCCTTACTTTACTTTTTTACCCAAACAGATGCCAGAATATTTCAAAGTAGGCCTCAACCACTTCCTTCCATGTTCTTTACAACTTGTTATTCACTTATCGCTTGTATTCTGGTTGTTGTTCTGTCTCTTTGCATTCTCAGTTGGTTGTTGGTGTAAGTGGAGGGACATGTGCAAGGTATATGCTGAAATTGTACCAAAAGAGCATTTCTGTAAACTTAAAATTGGCAGCTGTTATTCTGGACAACTATATACCAAGAATTTTATCTGAGGAAGTAATTTAAATACTGTATTCTTAAAAAGAAATGCTTTATACATAGGATTGTTTTACAGTTGGCGAGTTTATGTCAGTCATCATGTCATTTCCCTGGTGGCAAGTATCTGGAGTGGAATTTTCTTGCACATTGACACAGTTGGGCCCCCTGAGAAGACATGCATGGCATTTAGTCACCTGAATTTCAGCTTTTATGTTCATGAGGAATTTTTAGTGTAAAAATTCCCAGAGTCTATGACATTGTGATGTGTTCACAGTGTACACAGATGGAGACTGACCTACAGGCAGTGCTGGATGAGAAAGAGGAACTGGTAACAGAACGAGATGCTTATAAATGTAAAGTTCATCGTCTCAACCATGAACTGAATGCTGTGTTGAAGGGAGACAAAACAAGACTGGTTGACATTGATGCGCTGGTCATGGAGAACAGGTACTGTTGCAAGGTTTGAGGTTTACCACACTGAAAGTCCAGATTCTGATGTTAGTTATGGCAGTGTGTTGTATTGATTACCTAGTTGTTTTTTTCTTTCTTTCTTGTTTGGAAGAACTGCCTGTACCTTCTGGCTGAAAATTGAAGTATTGGGTTCCTCCAAAACATCGGTAACCATCTACATAGTATCATACCTCAGAAAAGAACAATCTAAAAAGTTGTTGCTGTTAAATTATGCACTTAGTAATAAAATACACAAAGGATAAGTGTTCCTGTGTCTGTACAGCACACCACTGCATTATGCAATGGATGTTTTCTTGCAAATGTGTCTGTTTTGCAAAATTCTGTAACACAGACCTTATTTCTATTTTGATTTCCATGTTATAAGTGGAGATGTGTTCATATGGAAACTTTGCCAGTCAAAATTTATGAATGATACAAACTTTACTCGCCAGAAATTATTGAGTGGTAGCAATCACTTTTGTCATGTTGCAGGTACTTGAAGGAGAGACTTGTGCAAGCAGAGGAAGAGAAAGAAATGTCAAACCAAGCTCTTTCCAAATATAAGGTTAGCTTATCTATTGCCCTGAATGGTGGCCCATACAGGAATAGGTAGCATAGAAAGAAGTTGTGGAACTTTATTTCATAAAAATTTATTAGAGAAAGCATTTGTCTCTGCTGCATAAAGTTATTTGAACTTTCAGAACCTGCTGCATCTATCTTCAGTGTATAAGACTACTTCTGTACCCTGAAGATGGAGGCAGCACGTTTTTGAGCTTGCATGCACATTTATGGAAATTTGAAGTAATGTACGAGACTGCATGTCATTATATCCCAGAAGACGGTCATCTTGGATGAATCATAAGTTATTTAACTATGCCGTATCAGCTACAGGAATTACTTAGCATTGGCTTGTGTAAATGAATGATCTTGATTGGTGAGTTTCTTTCTCCCTTCATAGCATAGATGGGAATAGGTTTCGTGTTAGTACATATGACAACAGTTGTGTGATGTAAACGAAAAATCTTTGAATACTTCGGTTCTGCTATTTGCATGTACAAATGCTGTAACTTACAAAAATATACTAACCCATAGTTGTACCATAGCTCAGGTGGTTAGACAGCGGTTTATTAATGCATTGCCTTTGGCTCAGTACCAGGTTACTTCATGTGAGATTTGTGATGGCAGAACTGATACTACAGCAGGTTTTTCCCATGCTGATCATCACTCCACCATTATTCCATACTCATCTGTCACCCACCCCCTGAGGAGTATGATATTCCTGATCAGGCAGCATATTGTAATGTGTTTGGAGTAGATACTTCCATGGTAACGCAATAACAGTGGGCCGCTGAGTAACAACGGATGAGACAAAACTCGTTCCCAGTGTATAAAGAGCATTCCCGAAGCAACGGATTGCCGAACACATGAGATCGAACCTTGGCGAGAGGTGTCCTCTACTGAGTCCGCAGAACACCTACATAAGCCGAGAGCTACAGACAGCAAAAACACAGTTTGAACCTAGTCGCCATACAAGACAGTTGAAAGATAGCCACCGCAGAATATGGTTGAAGTGATAACAATTGTAAGGTGTGTAAGACTGAGTGTCCAATAAAAATTTGCTAAATCCGAGGACCACATAAAGTTATATGTCACATGACACATCCAGAACGTAATGATATTATATTGTTGATCCTTAAGTTTAGGGCTTCATCTCTGTCCTGTTACTTATCTTGTTACAGAATATGGATGTTGAGCTTGTAAGTCCCTATTTAATACAGAATTTGGGAATTTACATGGAAAATAAGTACTTTTTTTTTTTTTTTTTTTTTTTTTTTTTTTTTTTTTTTTTTTTTTGTTTTTTTTTTTTGCTAGTGGGGTGGGACTAAGTCCCTTGTACTGCAGCCACTCCTGGCCTATTGTACCAGCCCCAGATGATAGGTGAGGGTGATTGTCGAGCAATTGGTGGAATGATGTTTGGCAGGGGAAACCGAAGTACTCAGAGAAAACCTGCCCCAGTGCCACTTTGTCCACCACAAATCCCACTTGATCAGACCCAGGATCGAACCGGGCCGCCGTGGTGGGAAGCCAGCGACTAACCACTTGAGCTATGGCACAGCCCAAAATAAGAACTAACCAATATGTAGTAAATGTATGTTTATATTATTAATAGGGCATGCTTGACAAGAATCGCAGCAGAGGTACAGTTAAGCTTGGCACTAACAGCACGGGCATGGTCATGTCCCACAAACAGGGTAAGTTGGTGTGCTACGCAGACATTCCCCAATTTACGTGGTAGGTTACATTGCCAAGAGTAGCCGTGTAACTCATGTTTTTGTTACTCCTCTGGTTTCAGTTGCCTTCATTAAAAGAAATACATAATTCATTTCACTTAACACCATTTTACCCATTATAGACCCTGTTCTTTATGTTTCTGCTTTACACAGCCTCATTATCCTTCAGTGTCCACTAAAATTTAAAGAAATTTGTGTGGGATAGTGTTATGTGAAATTCACTTAACTCTGGGGTCCCAGTACAAGTTAAGGTTTGTAGGAAGCAGCAAGATGAACACACTGTACAGTAAACCCTCGTAACAGACTAATAGGGGGGACAGGGTGTCCACTGTAACCAAGTGAAGGAGTATTCACACAAGTACAATGTAGGATACATAGCCAATACATATAATAAACATAGAAAAAAAAACAGTGTGATTACATGAAGGTTCTTCTTCATTTTAAGTAGTTTTTTAACTATAAAACCTCCTTAGTGTCTCAACATCTCCACACAATTGTACACGGCCGGATATTGGCCATTATAGCCGAAATCCATTATATCTGGGTCCATCATAATGAGTGTTTACTGTATTTTACAGTGTGAACTTTTTGGATTCATAGTGGCTAACTAAATAAAAGATGATTTGCCACATTTTGATAATGGTGCAGTAGTGAAAAATGCCTTCAGGATCACTTGATCTTTGTTCCTTAACCCACAGACTTTGCTTATTCATGATGTTCATTTATAACGAAGCCTATTCCTTTGCAGTGCAACAGCTCCTGGAACGTGGCTCATCAGCACAGTTGCCCAACACTGTTGCCACCCTGTCAGACTTGAAATCATTGTGTCTTGCCTTACTGGAGGCTCTCGGAGACAAGGTGCTAGCCCTGAATCATCAGAGGAAAGCAAACAAGTAAGGAATGATCTGTCTTATTTATTGAAGTGAACTCTTTCATTTAGAATAATGAAAAGTGGCCAAGAACACTCATCGTACTAAACAGGTTGGTCTAGATGTAATGCTGTAGTCTTGTATTCTTGAGGTACTCTGTTCAGTCCTTGGCCAGAGCACTCACTATCCCATCTTGAGGGTTTTCATGGTTTTTCTCATTTTCTCCAGGCAAATGCCATGATATTACTTTAATTAAGCCATGACAACTTCCTTCCAAATCCTTTCCAGTTCATTAGTAATCGGAAAAATATTCTCACTGGCCACACAGAACCAACTGGTCTGCATGCAGCCTGATAACACACAGTTATGTTTTGTGGAATGGAAAGATACTCTTGCAGGCTGTATAAAAGTAACTGTTGGCCTTCATGCATCCCTGTCTTAGATTTACTGCGTGTAAAAACACCGTTATGGTGGGATACTTGGTATGGAAAGCCTTAAAGTGACTATGTGTACAGGATCCTGGCAAATCGTATCTCTGACCTAGAAGAGGCAGTGCAGAGAGGGCATCCGGCCACATTTCCATCACAGTTGCTTCTGGAAGGCTATGCCAGCTCTGAAGTGGACCAGAATGCAAGTAGCATCCTCTCCCCAGAGCATCCTGGCAGCTCAGATTCAGAGGGAGAGTGCATCAGCAGCATACATCTCAACTCTGAAGGTAAGTTAGCAACTGGTTAAACTCAGAGGATGCTGCAGTGGACTGAAATCACAATTTAATGTGTAAAAGGGGATGATTTGAGGGGATTACCCGTCAGAACTGTAGACAGGTACTGGAACTGTTAATTTCAAGGGTTACATCCATTTGCCGCATTTCAGATCATTCAGAATAATGTGTGGCTGTGTATTGATACAAGGGAATCCTAAATTCAGGGGCAGGTTATATAATGCTTATTGGAAGAGTCAGAACAATAGCAATTAGTGAAATCTAGTGTGTTAATGTTCATTTTGCATCTGAGAGTTAAGTCAAGTCATTTAACCACTGACTGTGATTGCTGGTCAAGTTGTACCTGAAAGAAACTGAAGAAAAAAAAAAGAGAGGTCAGATATTTTTGATAAGAGTTTAATAGGCAACCTTTGCTGAAAGCATTCCTCTAGATAGCAGCAACACTTCATATTGAGTTTTTTTGATAAAAATTTCTGTATGTTGTGGGCCATGCCCATCTCCCAGACTGTCTGCTTCCAGTCTACCAGATAATGGTTTTATATTAGCTGAACCCTGAAGGTTGTATTTTGTATCATTTCAGGTATACAGGATGCTTTCACAACACTGGAGATAAATGGCGAAGGCAGTCAGAGTGAGATCACAGCAGTTGACGGTATGGAAGTATCAAAAAAGATATCCACCTCCAAACCATCACAACACGACCTCACAGTCACTCGAGGACATGAATCTCCACCGCACCAGTACCTGTCAAGCAGACATTCAGAGAAGCCTGATAATGACATCAGGGATAAGTACAGAATGTATGGTAAGTGTAAAGTTGTCTCCATGCTTAATGAAGCACCATGTCCTGAATATGTGTTTGTGAGTGGAGGTATAGCTCCACACATTCCTAACCTCAGTAGTAAGGTGGAGGTGTGTGGTCATCTTCATGCCCCAACCACCTTCCCCCATGAAGAGCCTCTGGTACCTATTGGATATGAGGCTGGGCAAACCCAAGGGCTGGTGTCAATGCTGTAAAGAGAAAAATCTCTTGACTCTGCTGGGAATCAAACCCTGATCCCTCAGTCACTCAGCATATAGCCTAATTATTATACCTACTGAGCTGAGTACAGCATTCAGATGATAAATACAGTTAAAGTGCTTGATTAATCACCTAGACACTAGATGGTGGTCAGCTTCATGCTGTGGCCACCTTACCCACAGGGAAAGAGCCCCTATTACACATTGGATATGAGGCTGGATGAGCTACAGAGCTGGTCTGAATGCTGTGGAGGGGAGGAAAATCCCTTGCCCCTGCTGGTAATCTGAGCTGGGATAGCATAGTCAGTATAGTGACAGGCTACAGGCTGGATGACCAAGGGTTCGGAGTTCAAGTTCTGGTGGGGTCAAGAATTTTCTCCACATCATTCAGACCGGCTCTGAGGCCTCCTATCCAACGGGTACCCAGGACTCTTCCCCGAGAGGTAAAGCGGCCGGGGCGTGAAGCTGATCATTCATCTCGAACAAGTGCCAAGGTCAAGAAAATGTAGATCTATACATCCACTTTCCCATACACCTTCATGGCGTAGTGCTTAATTAGTTAAGCAGAGGGACTTTATCTTTACCTTGCTGGTAATTGAATGCAAATTCCTCAGTTGTTCAGCCCATAGCCTAGTGACAGTACTAAGTTATGCAGACTCCCTCTACTAGGTATTCTAAACAAAAGTGGATGACAGTATGCGTTGGGGCTCTTCAGACAGTGCAAAATAGTGTGGGGTGTTGGGTGTAAGGTGTGACATCCTTAGTTCATCACAGTCAAATCTGCTTGGGTTTAATTGTGTGTCATCAGAGTAGAATCGAGATTATTTTTTTTAATTCGCTTAGTGGGGGGTGGAGTCCAACTGCGTCAACTCGGCATGGCGGCCACTGATTGGCCTATTGTAGCCTGCCTTGGGTGATTATGATGATAGAGAATTTGGTGGAATGAAGATTGGCATGGGAAACCGAAGTACTCGGAGAAATCCCGCCCCAGCACCACTTTGTCCAGCACAAATCCCACTTGACCAGACCCAGGATAGAACCCGGCCCGCCACAGTGGGAAGCCAGCGACTTACTGCTTGAGCTATGGTGAGGCCTAGAGTTAAGATACTTTACCAGTTATATTCCTACTAAAACTCCATATGGACATCTCTGCCATGCGTGCTGTGTACCCCACCAACCTCATCTTTCTTGATATTGAGAATTCTAATCATGTTTTAGCAAGCAATACAGATTATGAAGCTCCTGATAATGCATTTTCCCCTGGCCTCTTGAGCCCAAATATTCCCCTCAGCGCTGTTCTCAAACACTTTCAGTCTGTGTTCTTCCCTTAATGAGAGATACCAAATGTCACATCCTTCTGTGGTTTCATTTTGAGGTAAATACTGTGTTTTGTTTGGAACTTACAGTATCTGTATATTTTAATGAAATTAATGATTCAGGTTTTCTGAAGCAGGTAAGATAGTAAATATGGCAACATTTGTAGGGTCACATATGGAAGATACCATCTCACCCCAAACCAGTGTTCAAGGAGAGGACAACAGCCTACCTCCACAGCTACAGCAGCTAGTGCAGAAAGCTTTGGATGAGATGAAGCAGGAAGCCAAAAAGGGATGCTAATAATGTTACCAATTTATACTATGTTAATAAAGTTCCTACAAAATTAGTTTTGTGCAAGAGATTAATTTGTAACCTTTGAACGTTACATCATAGGTGGATGATAGGATTTTGATAACCTGTAAAGAGGTGATAATTTAAGGGGGGGTACTCATCAGAGCAAATGGTCCTTCTGGCTTTCCCACCAATATCCTATACGCATTCTGAATATCGCCCATTCGTGCTACATGCCCTGCCCACCTCATCCTCCTTGACTTGATCATTCTAATTATACTTGGAGAAGAGTACAAGTTATGAAGCTCCTCATTATGCAGTTATATATTCACTTAGTTACACTTATTTCTAATATTGTAGCTTGTAGGCCTGTTACAATATTAACTTTTACACTTTCTAATGTTTCAAAGGTTAATTCACTTACTTGCCAAATACTTTACTGCAAGTTATTCAGATATTTCTGTGTTGACCCTAACTGGTAAATAGTTGAAAAATTATAATTCCTAGAGGAATGCACCACTGCATCTGTATCCTATGACAAGAGTCCTTGGCTGAACTAATCTTTCCAGAGAAGGGACAGCATTGGATCTTCAACATTCAGGGATGGGATGTCCTCTTTCAGATCTTGATTGGCCTTATTTAAAATCTAGAAGGGTCCACAGTTTAGAGGCTTCCAATCAACTACTACTGCTGAACAATTTTGGTCTCTTAAACTCCAAACAGCGGAAGATGTATCCCTGGGTTACTGTGTCCTACTCTTTAAAACTTAGAAATCTGCAGACCTGTCAAGTATTATGTTCTCAAAGCTATGCCAATTTGCCCAGAAGTTACAAATTCCAGGAAACTGAGTGTTGGCACTATGTCGGTACTGAAAGTAAGAATGGTTCTGTGGTGTCTTCTTAGTGGAGCAAATATCTCCCCTATATCTTTTACAACATACTGATTCTCAATTAGAGTGCTAATATGTTATAATTACACTTGTCTGTTGCTCAGAAGTCAAGAGACAGGTACTGTTGAGCCCAAAAATAACCATGTTGATGGAAGAAAAAATTAAGGAAGACTATATGTCATTCAAGAACATGGCTCTACAACACTTTGTTGGACCCTGGCAGCTTTTTCAGTTTCTTGATCTTTTACACTGTTGGGACAACCCCTTGAATGGGGGACAGCCTGTCTGAACAATTTTGGTCTCTTAAACTCCAAACAGCGGAAGATGTATCTCTGGGTTACCGTGTCCTACTCTTTAAAACTTAGAATTCTGCAGACCTGTCAAGTATTATGTTCTCAAAGCTATGCCACTTTGCCCAGAAGTTACAAATTCCAGGAAACTGAGTGTTGGCACTATGTCGGTACTGAAAGTAAGAATGGTTCTGTGGTGTCTTCTTAGTGGAGCAAATATCTCCCCTATATCTTTTACAACATACTGATTCTCAATTAGAGTGCTAATATGTTATAATTACACTTGTCTGTTGCTCAGAAGTCAAGAGACAGGTACTGTTGAGCCCAAAAATAACCATGTTGATGGAAGAAAAAATTAAGGAAGACTGTAAGTGCTCTACAGCACTTTGTTGGACCCTGGCAGCTTTTTCAGTTTCTTGATCTTCTACACTGTTGGGACAACCCCTTGAATGGGGGACAGCCTGTCACAAGGCACACAGGCCAGCACAAACAGAACAAATGCATACAGACATACATGTCTCAAGTGGGATTTGAACCTGTGAGCTAAGTGTTTCAGCAGATGAAGGCAGTTCATGCCATAGACCAGTGTTTCTCAACCACCAGGCTGCACGCAGTACCGGACCCTGGGATCAATTATACCAGGCCTTCATCTACAGAAAAAAATAATTACCAGGCCATGGTCTGACAAAGGTTGAGAACCACTGCCTTAGACCGTGCAACCAGTGTGATCGGCTCGGGAACATACAGTTGGTACACATTTGATAAAATCTTCTCTGCGGCCTAGTCAGTCAGTTAAAAGTTACTGACACTTCATGGACCACCTATGACCCATGATCAAATCTGAGCATAAGCCATTGGAGTGTCAGTGGGTGGGCATCATAAGTCTGCTTGACTGAAATGTCTCCACTGAAGCAGACAGGAAAGTTGCACATTGTCCAATGTGTGGACCCCAAATGGAGAACAACTGCAGGAGCATTTAAAAGAGGATGTTGATGTAATACATGACACACAACACACTTCACTTTACTTATCACTTAGGACAGTTATTCTCTCAAGGAGAGTCACTATACAAAAATATATACATATAATATCTGTGTTTCTGGACTTTCTACCTCTTATGATATTCCAAATAAAACACACCATTTCAGAAACTGGATCCATGTCCATCCTCACATCAAAAGGTGGGGAGGCACCTACTTACCTTTTCACCCAAGGACAGAAGAGATCGATGTTCTGAAATGCTGTGTTCCATTCAGAATATCAGATGATGAACACAGTCCAAAAACCCACTAATCCTGAGTGTGATATACTGTCAGATCCCTTTACAACTGGATATTATTATAAAAATAATAATATATCTAGAACACATTTCTATAATACTTACAAAAAGCTACTTCAAATAATTCATTATACGTTCAAGATGATGATATGATTAGTTACTATGGTTAAGAATTAAGCTCCAACTAATATTTTAACGATTGTCATTATGAAATATAGCAATATGCTCATGAGAATAACTGATGTCTATAAGCAACTGGAAACTGACAGATATTATTTCTTTGTTATGAAATAAAGAATTGGCAAGATAATATATGTAAACTGGATACAAAAAAAATCAGTGGCACATATTGGAATCGTAAAGACATAAAAGTCAAGAGAACCAGTGATGAAAAACATCACCAGATGTGTTTCCCTCAGAAGTGAACATCTAGAATCAAAAGAAATCAAATTTCACACTTACAAACAAATGCAATATTTAATGTTTCTGCCATCAACTTCTGTTATTTGCTTTTGTGTCAACTATGTAACCCAGGCACTGCCAACCCCATCACCTGACAGGTTAAAGTTTAATGTACAGCAGTGCCATGACTGGCTATTGCCTCTTCTACAGATGTCATTCAAATGCACAGAAACTGTAAATGTAGTTTATCAGAACATGAAAGAGTCAAACTATACAGCAATTGTTGATGGTGTTTTGCTTCCTGTCTTCAATTTGTTTCAAATAACAGTTGAAGTTCAAGACCCCAGTGCAAGGGTATGCCAGTGAATGGGTTAATTTGCAACTTATTTAACAGAAGTACATGAAACATCATGACCATTCAATGTGTATGCAGCCTGGAACACATAATCATTAATTCCCAGCTTCAGTCATAGCCTATCTTCTTGCTCACCCTACATCACTGAGAATACTAATTCATTCTGACCTTCATTCCTCTCACAATAAGTCTCACAAAACAATGTGTACTCTCTTCCTACTTTCATAATTCAAATTACTGTTTTTATAATATCTGTTACAGGCAATTCGTACAATTCAGGCATTCTATAACATGAACTGTTCATTCTGGGAGAGAAATTCATACAAAGTTTAGGTGGGAAAAGAAACAACTTGGAAGTCTTGGACATAGGTGGTAGGATAATATTAAAATGGATCTTAAAGAAATAGGATTGGAGGGTGTGGATTATATTCCACTGGCTCAGGATAGGGACCAGTGACAGGTGCTTGTGAACATGGTAATGAACCTTTGGGTTCCATAAAATGCAGGCGATTGCTTCAGCAGCTGAGTAAATATTGGCTTCTCAAGAAGGAAGCATTTTCTGTTCATGTAACTTGCTACTGAAAGTAAGTAGCTGATTTTGTAAAATGCCTGAATAACATATTGCTCAAGGAATATGTAAAAAAAAAATGTATGCACAGTTTGGGAAACCTTTCTGCCAACCTTGTCTGAACAGAGGCAGTCACTGCATGACTGGCATAGACACAGCTGCCTTCGAGTGAGATACATCACTCTCCCGCCACATCTGAGTCACCGTCTTCACTTCTGTGTAGAAGTTTACACCCTGCAAATAACACAGTAACATTATAGGGACAATGAATATGACTCGTACAAAAACTGGAAAACACAGACAGTAAAGTTTGGAGAAAGCCTGATGTTTTAGAGGAACATCTTCCATCTTCAGGGACAGTGAGTGAACATGTCATTACAACCCAGAAGACTGCTCTCTTCATAGTCACCACTGGGGGAACCTCAAATCCAACAGATGGTAAAGTTTAAACACTACACAACAGAAGAAGATCGTATGAGGCAAAGATGTCCCTACAGCTAAGCAACTCCAAATCAAATTTTGAACCTGTGATCCAAATTTTAAGGCACCTATGCATGTGAGGGGCCTATTAAGCTCACTCTTCTTACCTGTCTTGTCTGCACAGAACAACTCAACGATCACTGATAGTATCTACATTAAGTTTAATAATGGAAGTGTGTTAACAAAAATTGTCACCATATCCCAATTTTTTTGTTAACAATGGACAAAATAACAGACACTTAAAGACCTGTGTGTATATCTGTATATATCTTGAACATATAACTGACTAAATATTTATCAGAGCAAGAAAGCTTCACACAAAACTGTAGAGAAAAATGAAACACACATTTTATGTACATGACATTTTGCTTGCAAGTCTTGTGAACTCTCAAGATAATTAAACAAAGGTCTGCTATGTGTACATTTCTGAACCTGTATGCTCAATAATGTTTACTTAACATACCTGCACAGTTTAGCAACCAACTCACCTGCTTGCCATAAAAGTGAGCATCACCCAGGAATGAACCACGTGTTCCAGTGAATGAGAACATTGGCAATGGCACAGGAATGGGCACGTTCACTCCAACCTGCAAGAACAGAAAACACAAAATGCAAACACAGTGCAACACCATTTGGGGCTTAATTTGTGACCTGTTGCTCTGAGCAACTGGGGTTCCACTATATATGGACCTCTGTGGGTATACTTCAAGAAGAGAAAAGTGTTCAACTATGGATACAAATGTGCTGATTTAGGTATGACAACAACAGCCATACCCAGTGTTCAAGGTTTGCATAGTAGGGAAGATTCATGTAGCTCTATTCTGGATTAGGAACATATTATTGAATCTACCCTGAAGATGGAGGCAGCAGTTTCCTGAAGACAATGGTAACAAACACGTATCAGAGGTAAGGATGAGCTCCTCTTCAGGATGGATGTGGCTTTAACGTAACAAAGTGGCTCAGTTATTTTCTTCAGTTACAGTCTTGCACAATGCAAAGTAGTAAAAGCCTCCCATACTGAATTAACCCTTCCGCGACGGATAGTATTTAAATCTTTTCCTACCGCCAAACCGACGGGGTATTTAATTATTAAACAGGAAAATGCACTTATCCATGAAAAATTTAGTAACTCTCGCAAAAATAGGTATATTGAGATAAATTTTTCACAGAAATATTCATAATGAAACGAAGAACAAAACTATATATATATTTTAATATAATTATGATA